TAAATCCCTGTAATGGATAGCTGTATCCCCTTATTTGCTCTCTGTACAGACAATAGCTGTCCTTAAAATACCCCATGAAATCCAAGGCAGATACAGCTATAGAATAGAAACTACAGTATCACTGATGTGGCGAGATTGGGGCTTTTTCTTGTGATGCAACTATACTGTAACATAGAAACATAGCTAAACAGACATGAAGCCAAACGAGGAAGCTTGGGTTCTGCGTGTAACACACTTTTGGATTTAACTCAGATGAAAAATGCAGTCGTACCTCCATCGCGCTTTATTGTGTTTCAAAACAAAACCCTCACACTCCTACTGTAACAGTCCATGCACACAACACAATCTAAGCCCCACTGCTCCAGAGAATAACACTGTAGCTACTTATCATTAACTCAAAGACACAATCAGCCCCAGGCGATCCAGCTTCCCTCCATAACCTTTTGACATTGCTGCTGGGAAGGTAAATGAGAGAAGAAGTTAGACACAGCGAGGGGGGTGGGGGTGGGGATGTGGGGAGACAGAAAGACTTCATTATGAATACAGCCAGGAAGTGGTTAGACCAAAAAATAAAAAATTCAAATAATAAAACAAGAGAACTTTACAATAAAGACAGTTTAGTGATTTTTAAATCCAAAACATAGCCTTAATTCCATGTGCCGACTGCAAGTAACTGCATTATAACAGCAAACTCGCCACTCGTAGTTCCAGCAACACAGACTGCATTTTTCCCTCTGGTGTGCATGCGAGCCATGCATGGGTTAACATTTTCCCAGTGAGAATAGTTGGGATATTGCAACTCGGACTGGCCAGTCAGCAGAATGTTATGAATGGGCACAATGAAAAACCCCAAGTCCATGCTGTCGACCCAAGAATGCTTGCCTCCATGTAATTAACTTCGCTCTGTGTACAGAATGAGGTACTGCTGAAATAACTCTTCTTATTTCTGTTTCTATTACTGTCATGTTTTCAAGAGGGGGAAAAAAATCACATTCTGAGAATTCAAATGGAAAATATTTTTGCCTGTCCATACTTTGAAGTATCCTGTGACTAATACAGTGATTTGGATAGCACTGGAAATGGAACGGACCACTTAAAAAGGGGTGGTACGTGCTCTGCAAAAGCTGGCCTCATTGCTTTTCGAGTGGATGAATGTCAGCTAATGGTAATGTGTATTCGTGTAGTGATATAAAATAGGGCATAAGATTAAACATAAGATAAATGTATAAATGAGGTATACCTTAAAACCTGTTTCATACATACAGCTCACCTCAAAGTGTTTTAGCAATTAGATTTGCACTTTGCACGCATGCAAATATACGCACACGTGCACGCATTTAGTCCTAAATAAAATCTCTAAATAACTGATAGTGAGTTGGAACAGACTGCAACTATGTAAAGAGTAACATCTGCAAACCATCGAATTATAAACCTACAGTATAACTACAGTATAATTACATGAGAGGCTCCCTCTTGGGCACTGTGTTGTTAGAGGGAAAAGGGATGAGGGGAAAGTGGAACATCTACAGTAATCTATCCAACTTCATTTCACCGGAGTGATTCTGCCTCGGGGTATGCACAAGTCATAATGCATTTGACAAATAGTCTCCCACTAAAACAGGCATTTGCGAAGAAGTGGCCTTCAGCGCTGGTATACACAGCTGAGTGTACGCTGAACAAACAAGCCTCCCACTCAGCGAGGAAAGATACAGAGAGGCTTCAAAAAGATTAGGAGAAATCTTGGGCGAAAAGTAAAGATGACTCACAGTGATTGTGCAAGTGCAGGACAATGCAAGTTGGATGGAGTTGAGAAGAGCAACAGAGCCGTGGGGTTCTTAACAAAACACAAATCGATGCTTTTCTCATGTGTTGTTCTTTGCATTGTTCTGAAATACGGGCGCACAGGTTGTTTTTACAATGAATTGCAGAGAATCATCATAACGGTTTTAAAGAATATCTTTATCCTTTTGGTTTTTGAGCGTGAACTTGACTGAAAAACAAAACTAAAGCATAACCTTCTGATTAAATATTTGGGTGATGCTTACATTCTCTTGTCAGTTTGTTAGCATTAATGTAGTCATCAGTCATGCAATAAATCCTACCTTCAGATTACAGTGCTCAGTTTTAGTTCTTACAGTTGTTTTAAAGAGGTGTTGATTTAACACAGTGACTACAGTATTTAGGTTGCAGTGCTAGCTATATATACTGACTACACTGTATTCTGCCCATCCCATTTATAACACAGAAGAAAAGGCCAAATAATGAAAACACCTATGATGAGGTTCCTGGAAGTTAGCTCATGTAACATATTTTAACAAAAACTGAGCACTGTAACCTTCCTGAAGGCAATCTGTGCTGCAAGAATGTTTTATTGCATCTGTTTTAACAACCTGTCCCTGAATAAAAGCATTACATTAACAATCTTTCCTTCCTCTGCTTCTGATTTCTAAAAAAAAAGTAGAAAAATAGAGTAGAGATCTGATCATTGTGTGTGCACACAATTTACAGTCATTCACACAAAGCTTAACAGTCACCCTCAGAAATAGATTTGACTTTACACCACTAGAACAGGAAGCCATACACTTTTTTATATGTGAACTGTCCCACTTTGTATTATGTGCACTTCCTGGTTGGTGTATTTAATACTGTACTGTAATGCATAATTACACGAGTGATTGTCAAACAAGCTGTATATATATATATATATATCGGTGTGAATGTCTTCAGGAGGCCACGTTTGGGAGTTTTGTGCCTATTTGAAAACATGCAGCTCTTAACATTGCTTAGAATTATGTTTGCAATTTACCATGGAAAAATTAAAAAAAAAAAAATATCAACAGCAATGACTAACTGTCTTGTGAATCTGACTTTAAGAAAAAAAGAAATCAGCTTCCTCACTTGCTGATTGAAGTGGCATTAAACAGCTGCGGTGCTTCTAATACTGAGCCACTCCAGCAGGTCAACTCCATACTTGTGAATTCAAGGCGCCAGTAAGATGAACTATTGCCAAAAATGTCTTATAAAGATCCTGTATCATTATTCAACAGTTACGTGTAGAAGCAGGAGTACAGTGCAGATAATGTGTCGCTTTACATCATGGTCACAGCTGTTACTTTAGTAATGACAATGTTATATGATTCTGTCCTTGAAACTCAAACCTGCTCCTTACCGGGCCAACAGCCTCTACGCTTGCTGAATCATGATAACCAATACAGTTCATTGTGTTAATACTACAAGAGCTGGGACGCAGCCTCAGTCAGAAACAACAAGGTCCTACTGTGATCTTCAGTAGATAGCACATCTGCAGCTACTCTGTCTGCCTACAGTATATGTGTTTAGCTAACCGCACACACACACACAATTATACAACTTTTTCAAAATCACAAAAAGATTACAAAAGTACTTCTACCTGAATTCTGCTTCTAGTGATAGACTAAATTAACATGTAAAACAAAATCGAGCTATAACTATGAACACTTCATTTGGATTTTAAAGACTGATGTTGATGTCCCAGTGAGTCAGGAGTTGAGGAATAACTGCAATCCTTGTAAACCATTCGCGTATTGTGATTCAAATCTCTCTCCAAGTATGTGAGTGTTGGTGTCGAAGAGTGTGTCCACGGGCAGCTAACCGCATGTGTTGGACATGTATACATACAGGTGACTGTGTGCATGAACAGGCTAGATTAACAATTCAAATATTGTACTGAGCTATAATGTTTCACTTTGTCATCAGCAAAAGCTAACTGCCTGCTGGCTTTCTTCCAGGTGCTAAGGCAAGCAAACCAATGTGAATGGCTGGGGGTATACTGCCTTCTTCTAGTTCTGCTCAGTAGTTACTGGTAAATGTTTACACAAGTTTTACCTTGACCACCGCAGTAAAAGAAACTTGGCTCATTACTTGCAACTTGTAACCTTGGACTATTAAGTAGGTCTGTATGTACATTTCTCACTTGTAGATGCCAAACATTTTTCTGCAAGGAAAAGAATCTGCAATGGTGTCCACCATGGACAGAGTGCAAGAGTAAAAAGCTTCTCTCTTTACTGTAGGCCCAACATCAACAGGATATCAATAACCACATAATTCAAGAAGGAATTGGAAAATCCAAAACGCACTACTGCAGATGCAGCCTTTTCTTTCCTTTCTTTCGAAGAGCCTGTTTTCAGAGATAGATAATCCATGACAGGTGTTAGCACTTCAAGTTGTTCAATAAACGCTTCTTTTACTACTGAATCGTGCGTACAACGCAGTTAATTTTTCCAGCACTTCTTATCAGTGTTAATGTAAACACAAAAGCTAATATAATAATCAAACTTTAACCAAACACGGAAGGCTTCTTTTAAAGGCAAAGGCGAATAATCATTTCTAAAAAGTTATTATGCGCACAATGATGTGGTTGAATTTTTGTCCATACAGGTGTTGATAACCAAGCATGCCAAAATATACTAGTGATTAGTACTAATGGAAAGTATCTTACCGAGCAATAATGCAAAATAAAACAGACGAAAATGCCAAATCACGCTGCAACATGTATAGTCTTAACCAATACGCATAGCATGCTCTCATATTTCAACGCAATGCTGATAATTGTATTTCGGAATAATAGTGCACTGGCCCTGTAAAGTAGCTGGAAAGTGTATTTCCGCAGTTAATTCTGAAGCATTTAGATCATATAGAAAACATTCTGGCGGTCTATATATATTAGAAGACAAGAAAAAATGCACACGTTCATTTTGTCCATTTGTCAGTTTTGGTTGTTGAAAGCAATCACCAGCTCCTCCGGTGCGCCAGATAAAGTGGTGCGCTCCAACTCTGCTCACAGGACATCCACAGCACAACGCAGCCCCAGTTTATTCACACTAACACACAAGCGATTTGAAATTAAACGCCACCTCACGTGCACGATCTCAAAGCAGGTGTCCTTTTTAGCAAAGTTTATGAGTCCAAATACATTAAAGAAATACAACGAAGTTGACGGGGAAATGCAGCCTGTCACTCACTGATCCCGAGGGAACCAAAAGTGCAGCACTTGTCACTAGAGGTCTTCAAACAGCGTGCCTGAAAAAATACGACCCGTCTGCCACCATGCGTATTCAATATACATCATGAAACTTATGGCTGCACATCTGACCGACTAAAGTAACCGTAAACGTTTACCTTGTTGGAATGGTAATAGTCCAAACCGGAGTCAGTCGGTAGCGTACATGAACCCACGCTTGAAGGGGGAGCTGGATAAAATCTGACGTCCATCTCAGAGTCCGCAAGACTGACGGCATGAAAACGTAGCTCCCAAAAAAAAAACCTGTGCGACTTCTCTCTCTCCTGCACACACACACACTCACACACACTCACTCACACACGTCTCTCTCCCTCTCTTTTTTTTTCTTTTGTGTATCAAACCGAACAAAAAAGTAGTACGAGAAGATGTTCAGTCTTTATATCCGTCCTACAGTTACTTCGGCCCTAACTGCACGCTGATGCTCTCATATATAACATCCCTATAAAGTTCACTTGGAAAGAGGGGGGAAAGAAAAGACAGATGCCCGCCTCAGTAATCTCTGAAACTAGGAAGCTAAACAGTGTAGTTGTTTGACAGCGAAACAAGCCGGGCGTGCTGCAGGTGAAGAAATGATCTTGTCTACGGTTTCTCCCAAAACGCCCGCTCTCCGTTCCTCGTTTCCAGACGCGCTGTAGCTTTGTCATGTGGGAGCGCTCTGATCCATCCATGCGTTCCCGTCCACTCAGCAACTGCTAGGCTGCGACCTCTACCGGTCAGAGGAGGACAGGCGAGAAGAGGGTCAGTGGGGCTGGGAGGATTGACGAGGTATAGTGAAGAATAAGTCTTTATTAGTGAGTTTAAGTGACCCTCAGATAGTGGGCCAACGACAGCCTCTCTGCGTGGTCGTGAGAGCATCACAAGTTGATTTAACACTGGGGTGTGGGCATTTGGCTGATTCAAAGAGCTGTAGAAATGTTTAGTTTTTTTGTGAAATCTCTTTGAAATGATCAAATCAGCTCTTACACAGGCTCTGTTCATCTTTCTAAAAATGGCTATAAACATCTAATCTTTACTATCTAATTAATTTTAGTGTAATAACACTATATCTGACAGACACAGAAAATACAAATGCATTCAATTCAATAGGAATTTAAAGCCTTATGTTATTTTTTCATGAAAACATGAATTTATGCTTTGAGATTCCTGATGTGACCCTGAATTTAACTGACGTACTTGGTATGATGTGCAGCACGCTGCCATAATTTGGACCATAAAGTTCACGGTGAATCTCATTAACTTTTTCACTTCACTTCATTATTTAAATGTTGTTTACAGCAGTTTTGTCATATAAATAAAAAATATTGTTATGTATTTTGATGCATTTCAGTGGGTCGGCAGCCAGTGGAATACATCTCACTTATAAATAAAGGAATCTCTGTATCTCTGTGTATCTTCTTCGCATTTCACAACTGTTCATCCGTCCAATTTCAAACTCGGGAGTTTTATCTCAGTGGACCACAGAAGTCATGTGGATGGTCAGTGGTCTCATATTGTGGTCTCATTTATCATCTACCTATTGCTAGGTAATGGGAAAATACTTGACCTCACATATGATGTCACAAATCTCCCTTCTGTGAAGAAACCAGATCACCACTAATGTGGCACATCAGATAATAGAAGACTAGAAGTCCCAACTTTGCTGAGGGGAAAACAGTTCTCACCTGATTTTGTATAGTCTGAAGGTGCAAAATAAATAAATGCTTAAAGGCTTCCATCTACTGGATTGGAAACCTTAGCTGGGAAATGGGACAATATGTTGGTTTTTTTGTTGTTGTTGTCTTTATAAGCCACCAAACAGTAAAATTAATCATTTTATGGGACAAAATTTGATAGAGGTCATAAGACATTGGGTATCATCGAGACTTGGAAAACTATTGTATCTTGACACTTGTTGTGTTTTCTGATCCTTTAATATGCCAGGGTTACCTGGTGTGTTGGTTTTTGTAATTTAATAATGCTGTTGGAAGTTTGACAGTATTTAGGTTGTGTTACAGTGGAATGTAAATCATTCAGAAATCTGTGAGTTGGTTTTTGATGCCTTAGCTAACTATAGTAGCTGGCTAACTATGGAGTCATGGCTATGCAGAGATAGAGTGCTAAAATCATTCTCTGACACAGCAAAACCTAACATTTGTAGCCACTTTAAGGTATTTTACTGGTGTCAGGCATCTGTTGCATTGTGTAGGGATAAATGTTTTCCCCTCCACCTGACCTGATTTTCTCACTATGGCGATATAAATTGTTGCTCTAATTTTGACCCTTGAATTCACACACATAATCACATTCACACACAGCTGGACAAATAGAAAACATGCTCACACAGCAGTCAACACAGCATGATGCACACACAGAACAACCATAGCTTTAGCGAGGTACAGATAAGAAAAAATAACCTTGCTCCCAGCCAAATGTGTATTTTTACAAATGGGATGAAGTGGTGTTGTGTGCTCAGTCTTATGGCTATGTGCAATTTATTCTTGCGTTCTTGCGCAAAGTGTGTATTTTTTCTCTCACTTTGAGAGTGTGTTTATGTTAACCAAGCTGCCATTGTTATCCCAGTGGGTGACTTTTTGGCCCCCTCAGGACTCTGCCCATGTCCATGTTGCTAACACACGGCATGGTGGCTCTGGCCCTGGGGTTTGAGCCTGCGTTAATACCAGGCACAGATGGGTTGCACCATGGGCTTGCTGTTGCAGTCTGCCATCAGCTGCCAGCTCAGGCTGTCCTGACTCCAATCTCATAAGGTTAACTGTCACAAGGATACTGATTTCTTCCAATTCTGTACCTCTGTGTTGGATTCCTCTCTGCCTATCTCTCACTTTCTCTCTCACCGTTACTCGTTCGCTCAGTCGCTTGCTTTTACAGCAGAGGATACAGTACACAGGGTTATCTGGCACATGAGGACTCATGCCTTCATTGGGAAAGAATGCGTGTAGTTTTTTGCATTACAGCCTTACGTGAAACAGAACAGTGAAGGACTCATGCCACATATTAGGAAAATGGGTGATTAAAAAAATAAGTAGTGGAAGAAATCGGGTAAGTGGAAAAAAGTGCAAGCGAAGGATGCCGGTAAAAATCGAGATGAGAAGAAATTAATGTGTGGTGGAGGGGCACAGAGAATGGTGTAACATGTAAATAAAAGGGAGATGACACACAACTGAGGCATAGTCAGGAAAACTTTAACATTCAAGGACAAAAACTTTCCAGTGTAAAATGCAAATCGTGTCATCCAGCTTACCCTCTATTCATCCATTCAGCACAATAGTGGCACAAACATTTTTATTGCCACGGTAAGAGCTCCTGCTAGCATCAGGAAATGAGAGGAAAAAATAAAACATTAGTTTCCATTAAGGGTTATAACCTTGCTTGTACTTCGATGATGTCAGGAGCGCTGGTTTAATAACTTTATCTGAGCTGTAGTCATTTTAATTTTCATAAATTGATAACTAATTTTTCAATGCAGAAATATAACATTTAGATGAAAATGACTTTAAGACCTCAATAATTTTCCTTTTTAAATAAAGCAGTAAAAGACCTCACTGATGTTTGCAGTGCTTCGTGCTAAACGCAAGCAATCAACTTTGGAGAGAAAACATTCGTTTTTCGGTAATTGACGTACAATTTCACTTAAAAATAAAGCACTTACTGATAAGAGGCAGAAGACAAAGACGAAAACACTTTCTTCTTTTTCTACTCTGCCCCTCAGATCTCTCCGCTTCCATTTAAGTGAGCTTTTAATTTTTCTTCCAGATAGAAATGTGCACTGATTATCAACAATTGCTGCTTTGCTGTTTTTTAAGTAAATGTTTAACTCACATATATCACAAGGTTCCCTAAAGAACACAAAAAGTGGACTCAAAATTAACTGTGACTTACTAAAATATCACAAAAAGTAGCAACTTTCTACCTTGTGCAATAATAAACCTCTAAAAAAACAAATTATAAGTTATGTTGATGCAGCACATGTTTTACCATCATCAGCTTTTCAGGGTTATTTGTTGACTTTGGGCTGACATGTTCTAAGCGGATTCTTACTAAAATACCAAACAAAAAAAATGTGATCAAAAGTGGGGGTTTTCCTATAACAATTCACCTATATTCTTTGATGATGTTTAAAGATCAGTTGCAAATTCAAACGGCAAAGACAGTGACTGAATTTTAAATGACCTGGTTAGAATTCTAAGACTGTCAGTATGAGAGAAAGCAAAAAGACAAAGACAACAAAGTACAGAAACAAAAGGTGATTCATCAGTTCCAAATGTGAGTCAATTTGCTAGATTCTGTAACTACAGGGAGAATTTGACAGTGTGTCAGTGAGAAATGTTCTAACAAGGATGCATAATTTTGCTATTTATTGGCATTATCCAGTGACTGCAACCTAAATGACTATATGCTAGGTTATTTGCATTTATAGCAGCTTAGCAGCAACGGGAAATATGTTACACATAAACCATTCAAGCCTATTAAAGAAGTCACTGCTGAAAACAACAACAAAAAAAAACATACCTTACTTATTTACAATGTAAAAATAGACTGGTTTAATCACAAGACCACTCAAAAGGAAATGGTTTGGGTTAAAATAATCACTTTGTTAAGGTTAGGGTACCTCGGTCATCGTTCTTACTGTTTAAGTATTTGCAGGCCCCTAATTTCTCTTTTCAGGATCTACTTGATGAAATTTAAATGCTTTAATTTCCAAAAAAACCTTCTCATACTGTACATTGCTGCATCACCTCTTTTCACCCTCTCGCTAACAGAATGGGGAATAAAACCCCAGCAAGTCAGCTGGCCTTATCTGGACTTAGTGCAGGCAGCTGTTCATTCTCTGTTTGAGGGTATGCCAAGCTAGCCTCTAGGCAAAAATGTGCCCGTTTGTTAGACAGTGACGTAGATAAGTGACAGATAACATTTGCTACAGTTTCACCACAGCTGACTTTGAAGTTCATTTTCTCTCATCTGCTGGATGTGTGTTACTCAACATCAACTGTATATAAACCAGTGGAATGGTATTTTCCTTGA